TATGTTCTAACTCAATTATTAATGTCAATATCGCTCAGCTAAGTTTTTATGAGGTAGTATATTGATTTATTTATATATTTTTCACCTAAAAAAACCTTGTTTGTATAAGTACTGTTTTACATTAGTATATTGTTTGTATAAGTATTTTTTTCAAGAAAATCCGCATGAACTTCATAATACTGAACATTATAACATAATAATTATTCCCCTGTTATTTTTTTTAACTTTTGTAGTTTTATTATTCCCCTGATTGGAGTAACTTGTTTTGAAGGATATTAATATATGAAGTACCCCAATATGCAGGTTTAATTTGATCATTGTTTTGCTCTCGTAGTTAATCTGTACATATAACTACAAATATAACAAATGAAACTATTTTTCATGATAAATACTCTACTCAGTTCACATATCAAATCTTGATACTTTTCATATCTTGGTATTAATGAAGATTTCAAAGATATTATTATTATTATTATTATTATTATTATTATTATTATTATTATTATTATTATTATTATTATTATTATTATTATTATTATTATTATTATTATTACGTTATGATATATAAACAAGTTTAAGCGTCAGGGTGTGCAAGCCATAGTAAATAAAAACTTTAATAGATATAGCTAGCTGTTATAAAATCGGGCTTGAAGTCGACATTAGTAGCCAAATGCGGAAGTATGTTATAGAAGATCTTATCAACGGGCGATACCCACCTACGACATTTGTAGAGTATAGGGATAGTTGGAACCAAGGTATACGCGAGATCGTATCAAGGAGAACAATGGTTTATACTTGTTCGGGTAACAAGATGGATAATAACCCAACTCCAGTTTATATGTATATATTGATGAAAATACCACATGGATTAAAATGGGGGAAATGATGATTGATCTAATCCGATGACTAGAACCTGTCGAGAATGGCCCGACGAGACCTACTCGGCGACTAGGGTTTAGGCTTGCTCCGGATTCTATCTTGATGTGGCTTTGGCTATAACTTGTAACTTGATGCCCCTCCCTACTGGGGCCTTGTATTTATAGCTATAGTGACCTTCTTCTCCAAGTAAAACTCGGAGAATTTGAACACAATATGAGCTAAGGAGGCATTGTCTTCCCTGACTAGGACTCTGATACATTCTATCCAAGAAGTTAATTTCCTTCTAAATCCGTCGTATTTCCTTAATCAAATGATACCTTCTCGTATATATTTAGATATATGGTATTCATATATAGTACGAACCCGGCCAAGTATAAGAGGTATGACTTATCCTTGACACTGACAAATCCAAACATGATGATGATAATACCAAGGCATGATACTTGTAGGTAACGTAGTTAAGTCGAAACCTATATCTCCGGAGCACTGATTGCGGGTGCTCCTTTCCGATTAAGTATAATTACAATGCATCAAGAATCCATGATCATCGACCAACTAGGCCACATGTTGATCATCGCTTGTCTATGCTACTGTCGTCATGCGATTACAACAGATATGACTCTCTATTTAGGAGAGCTTAGAATAGAAAACCGACTCTAACTCTATTTAGTACTACTCTGAGTTCTAAATTGTAACCGATTTTGTGCAAATATTCGACACAAACTCTAACACAATCTATATTCAGATGCACATGTTTAGTATTCATGCATCTTCAAGCATGGATAACAACAATGGCGGAGCCAGAAAATTTCTAGACCAAGGTTGTACTGTAAAAATAATATTACCAATTCTTGCGTGTTCATCGATGAGCCCAGCGGCCGTCTGAGGGTGGCCGAGCAGTGAATCAATCTGCCACTGGATGACAGGATTGAATTTTATTTAGTCCGCAGTTTCCTTTGCTTCTAGATAACAAAAGGGATAATGAAAGATTCTCTTAAAAGAAGATAATAGAAGATGAATTTCCAGCCTCTGCATCTTAGACAGTTTTGTTTGCTAAGCTCGTCAAGAACCTACACTGTAGATGCCTTTGCAAGTTGAAGAATTTGTTCCAAGCCACCACCAAAGCTCATCGTAGAAATTTGACCACCCCATGCTCAACAATGACCAGGCACTACATACCTGATGAAAACTCCAGTTCAAGATGGTATTATTCTTGAATTGACAACCTAATTAAGCTAAGCTATTCTATGGCTTAATTTCCAAGCTATTAAACTATTCCAATTACCTAATTTACCTAAGACCACAGATGTGTGGTTCAGGACTAAGAACGGGGGCCCACCCACATGAGATGTTGAGTTGGCATCTCATTCCCCATGTTAGTGGGAGAAGATTGAAGAACCAAAACTCCTGAAGTACAATCTGTGGCTATATGCATGCCATATTGCTAATTGCCAACCCCCCAATCAGCTGGCAATGGCACTTGATTCCTTCTCTCTTTTGGCTTGTGCCTCCAGATATTGATATGAGCTTTAGGCAGTGAATCTTAATAAAGGGCAGCTTTTTTTTGGGACAATGAACCCTATTTTATTTCTCTACACGTGTTGCATATCTGGAACAAATGTTAGGTTTAATGGAGGCATAGTACAGTTTTATTAATTAATTATCTGTTGATTTATTTTTGCATATATATATATAATATATATATATATATTGTACCTCCTTTTTACACATGGTAGATCCAACAATTAATGTATGTGTTTAGTTATATACAAGTGGTACCATTAGAATTGCATTTCACTGTACTTTCATATTCTTATGGTTTTGTTTACATTGACAACTTGTTGCAGAAAAAACTAACTATAAAAGTCTAATACTGGTGATCACCAAGCCAAGTCAACTACAATTTATAAAACTGGGAAAGGGAGTAGTTAATTGCTATAGGGAAGCTTCAATTCACCCTATATGTCAAAAAAAACATGTGTGGAAATGGTTAAATTACTCTTATAATCATTCAAGCAACTAAAGAAAATCATTAGAATCGAACCTAATTGATCATGGAGGCATATATGATTCAAATTAAATCCTATTACAATTTAATTTGGGGTGTGTATTCGGTGGACTTTTTTAGCATGCATGAGCTTGCAATGTCATGTAATAAGGTTCGTGTGGTTTAGACTTTATAACATGCATGATTATAATACTACGACATATATAGCTCTAGCAGATACCATTTTATAAATTATTGTCGGAGATATATGATTTACACATGCATGTGACATTAGGTATTGTTAGGAGCTAATTAAGAAAACAAATGGCATTGCATTGTGTATCGGCATGCTTTTATTTTAATTTGCAATGGTTTTTTAGTTCGGGCATCATGCTTATGTGTGGAGGTATGTACCATGTTGCTCTATAGTACTTCTAGTGATTGTACGAATTGATCAAAGAGTTCTTCCATTCCTGCATGCATGCAAAGAATTGTTTCAAAATACAATATACAAGTCGTATTTTTTTTATTCAACGGGCCAATGAGTAGCAGCGGTCACAAAATCGATCACGAAAACCGACCGGTATTAGCCGGTTTTTGTACAGTCTTTACTGAAAATCATCGGTTTTTAGTAAATCTGTGGGGAGCGGTTTTCACTTCAAAAACGAAAAAGTGAACCCCGGTGAGTAGTACATATAATCCTCTCACATTCTACGTGTAGACCTCTCGTGCCCGTAACTCTAGTCTTAGATATCTCTCATCCTACGATTACATAGTGCCAACCAATTTCTTTTAATCAAGAGATCAAGATCTGGTTTATATGCTACTCTGTCAACCCCATTTCACCATCATCACACCGTGCTTTCGTTTTTGTCGAAACCAAGTTTGTTTTTCAGGAGGCTGCACATGTAGATCATCAATTCATCAATGACTTAAACCACTGACGGTAAAATGTCCCATCTTCATTATCTACTACCATATTCTCAATTAAAATAACTTTAAGCTGTAAATAAGTTATTATATTATAAGACGAAGAGTACTCGATAAAGGTTCTTATTTCTAGATATGACATACATCTAGACACCAAGTTTTGAATCCAAACCAAGCCCCTATACTCGTCTTCATTCGGTTCCACCATATCCCCAACACATCTCCCTAAATGTTCCTAGTACATTTTTATCAGCGACAATCTCATTAGAGCAATTCGTGTCACCTTATCGTCAAAAATAGATTGGCAACAATTTTTTAAGCGGTTTACAAATATTATGATATCTTACTACTCCAGTATATATTAATAGCTACTAAAAATACTTGAAGTAAAAAATTAATTAACCTCTACTAGCTACAAGTAAAAAAAAAAGCTATCCAGCATAAAAACCACTGAAATAGTCCAGATCGATCCACACAAACTAGCCAAATCTAGAGCCGTTATGTGCATTCATAAAGAACATATTAAACTTTAGGGGAAGAAACGAAGGAAAAATGAAATGTATGTAAAATAAACGCTAATATGTCACACTCCGATTGAATCGTGATATTGTTTACAACTCTCAACTAACTAAACCAAACGGTTAAGGCCTTTGGGCCTGTTCGGTTGGCGGATGTTGCGGCTACGTGTGCGCGCGGCACTATTGGTGCCAGCGGCGGCGCAGCCGTAGACTTAGCAGCCGAACGTATCAAGTTTGTAAAAGTATTTTTTTTAGAAAAAATACATATAGCAAAACGAAACCCAAAATTCTCAAACAGATGAAAATAATATATTAGAAGTGGAAAAAAAAACAAGATGACATAAAGGCGGCAGTATTCTACTAGTCTTGTGCATCGCTCGCTAGTGGTAGTAGTGGGAGGAGTGACGTCCGAATAATCCTCCCTCCTACCGTGTGCCCACCGCGTGCCTTTGCTTTCCCTCCAGCATCCTTCCTTCCTTCCTCTATTTCTACCTCTCCTCTTCTCCTTCTCCTTCTCCATCTCCTCCTCAGGACACTCCTCTCCTCTGCTTCTCTTCATCCCATTCGCATCAGTGCTCAGCGACCTAATCAAGATCTTTACTCGAACAGAAGAGTATAAGTCCAGCACCGGAGAAGCATCTGATTCTGAATTCGGTTTGCTGCTGCCTGGGGAGAGGAAGGTTAGGTTCCTGGCTCCTCCTGACTGACTTAATTTCCTTTCGCTGTCTTTCTCCACCAGGTGTGGTGCTTGTCTTTTGTGTTCATGTGTGATTCAAGTGATTCTTGTTTGGTCGGTCTCTGCCTTTTTGTTCTAGAGAGATCTCCTGGTGCTCTTGGGGCACTCTCTGCTCCTGTTATACTGGTGATGGCCTTCTCTGTTCTTGTGCTGAAATCCTGCTTGAATCAACAGAGTTTCTTTAGGTTTTTTTTTTTTGATTCTTGATTCATGTGTTGTTCTTGAGGAAGAGGTCAGGAGAGTTCAGTTGGGTTGGAGCCATTGGTTGTTGCCATGCATCTTTCTCTTCTTGATTTTTATGTGTGTGTGTGCAGTCTCTTTCTGGATGATTCTGTACTGGCAGTTTGTGGTACAAACAGGGGAAGAAACCAAGATCGGCTTCTTAATGTGTAGTAAACAAATTTCCAGTCTTGCTGGAAGTTGACATGGTTAATTAGAGAAAGGAAACAAATTAGAGTTAGTTTTAGTAAATCCCAATGATTCCTTCAGGGCTTGTACTGCATGAAGCCAAGAATCTGATAGCTTTCACCACATTAGATTTAACCCAGATATCCAATAAGGAGAAAGAGCATGCAAAATCACTGTTCTTTACTTCTTGTTTTCTACAGCAGCAATAATTTTGCCATGAAATCGCATAGCTGTCATGGCGATTCTCTTCTCACCAACCAAATTTAGAACAGAAACCCAGCTGTGTTTTCCCCCCTTTTAATTTTAACTCTTCTGTGAATTCACCGCATGATACACGCCAAGAAAGTGTTTTAAATCGCTAGCTAAAAAACATTTAGCGATCGGTCTTCTCAAACAGCTAATAGCCGATTGAATGGGGCTGTAGCGGCTAAATTCTACATGAGGCGAGAAATAGCTAGAGACACCCTCCTCGAACAGCTATATCTGAAGATAGCGGTAGCTATAGCCGGAGATTTAAGACCTCGCAAGAAACAGGGATGGTGTCACATGGCATAGGCAAGAAGAGTCTTTCTTCTTCCTCCTACTCGCCGCCGTCTTCGTCGTCGTCGCCGCCTCGGTCTTCATAGCTCGGCTGCAATGTCTGATCGTCGTGCGTGTGCGTAGGATTCAGCTGAGTTTGGTTCTTAGTGGATTCGTTTGAAATTGGTGCAGGGTAAGGTTTGCCAAGACGGCTCCGCGGCGGCGTCTCCGGCTAATCTCCGGTCACTCTGGCCTTCCCCGTGGCGCCGCCGCCGCCTCGCGCCGTGAGTGAGGTGTGTGGTGCTGTGGGGCATGCGATCTCCTCCGCCGTCTTCCTCCTCGTCTCGCCGTCGCTGCTCCGGAGAGTCTCTCCCGTAGACAACGGCTAAAAGGTCTCAGAAACTTACTGAAATTTGGAACGAATTCGTCTGAACAGAAGAAAATTCGAAGGGATTTGCGAGTTTTGAGTAGGTCAAGATGACCAGGATGAGGTGCATCCCGGGTCTGCTCGCCGGCAGGAGGAAGAAACGAGTGGTAAATGTTTGATCGAATTTTGCCTTTCTGTTTTTGTGAGATTTTGGTTTTGAGTTTGTAATGGTTGGTGAGTGTTCGACAGGTTGCTGATGCCAAGAAGGCTAGTGGGGATTGTCCCAAGGTGAAGCCGGTGGAGTTCATCGACTCGCCGGCCGCCGAATGCGGCGACAGAAAGGTCGCGCCGTGCGATGTCAAGGTCGTCGTCGACGACACGGTTGTCACCGCCTTGGCGGCGACCAAAGGAGGCGGCGGCGGCGACGATCATGGCGGCGACATGGCGTTGGCGAAGAGGGGCAGCATGTCGTCTGACTTCGAGTTCGAGTTCCACGCACACGAGAAGCCCGACGGACATGGCGTCCCCGCCGGCGCCTCGCCGGACGCGGTGATCGCGAGCGGGAAGGAGGTGGTGGTGGCCGACGCGTCGCCGAAGCTGAAGCGGTCGTGCTCCAACATCGAGACGAAGCGGCCGGGCACGCACGACGCGGCGGCGGAGGCGGCGCCGGCGCGGTCAAGATCCTACGGCGACCTCGGGAACCTGCCCGGCGGCGGAGGCGGCGGCATCTCCCTGGAGACAACCCCGCGCGGCGCGGCGCCGCAGGCGGAGGCGAGCCCGGCGTCGGTGAGGACGTCGCGCACCGCCGACCGCGTGATGCTGAAGAAGCGTTCGTCGAGCCAGGTGCTCCCGTCGCGGAGCCGCAAGCTGTGGTGGCGGCTCTTCCTCTGGAGCCACCGCAACCTGCACCGCCCGTCGCCGGCGGCGCGCCCCGCGGCCGCCGCGTGCACACCCGCGGGCCACCACGGCGGCGGCGGCGGCTACACCTCCGACACGCTGGAGGAAGGCCCGGCCACCGCCGCCGCCGACCGCAAGAACAAGAAGGTGATGGTCGACGACTCGCCGCCGATCCCCAACCAGTGGGTCGCCTTCTCCGCCGACAACTCCCTCCACGACCGCATCAGCGCGTGGGTGAACAGCATCGACAACGACACGTTCCGCATCGCCGAGGAAGACGACGACGACCACCACCACCACCACCATTACCACGGCGACGCCGACGACGACGACGGCGAGCACGCCATGGAGCACGGTGACTGCGTGGCGCGGGCGCCGCGCGCCCTGGAGATCGGCGAGTCGTCCGGGAAGGGGCACGGCAAGTCGAAGCGTTCCACGGCCGCCGACGAGGTCGCCCAGGCCAACACCATCATCCAGTCGCTCAACGCATTCTCGTCGGTGGCGCACATCTCCGGCATGGGCCTCAAGGTGGTGCCGATGATCGCGCCGTTCTCCAGCCTCCGCGCCATCAACCTCTCTGGCAACTTCATCGGTGAGCACAACTGACAACAGTAGTAACATTTTTTGTCGCTGTAGCATTTCAAGCAAAGTAACTAGATACTGCACAGTAGTTACTTACTACTACCTTCAGTTACCGAAAAATTTGACTGAATTTGGGTTCTACCACAGTTCATATCTCGCCGGGATCGCTGCCCAAGGGCCTTCACTCGCTCGATCTGTCGCGGAACAAGATCGCCAACATCGAGGGGCTCCGGGAGCTGACCAAGCTGCGCGTTCTCAACCTCAGCTACAACCGGATCTCGCGCATCGGCCACGGTAACCGCACATCTTGCCTCACCAATGTCACAATCTTCAGAGTATCCTGCATGTCCAAACCCTCCAAATTTTACCCTCTCACTAGTAGAATTACAATTTTCAGACTATACCAAGTACTGAGTAGAGTTCCTTTTTCCCTGTGGAGTGATGAGTGATAGGGACAAAGATTAGAGTTTTTAATCTGTAGCATCTAGTAGCTGACAAAGCCAGTCTGGACCAGAACAAAATGAGCATTCCAGGACATGTCACGTTGGTTCTAGCATGAATCTGCTTCATGTATTGGCTGTCACTGCCTCGTCTGTCCACAGTTTCCGTGATCCAGGAACATTATTAATACAGTTGGAAATGGGGCCTTATCATCATCATCATGATCAAATCCCTGTCCCTGACTTCTGTCCATCCATACCCTGGATGTAAAAGTGCACTCCTCCATAATTCCAACCTGGTCCATGCATCCACTGAATCCACTGCTCCCTAATGATCTCAACTTAATTCTCTGAAAAAAAAATCAATTCAGAGCATGACTCTGTTTTCACTTGAGAAGAATCTTGCTGAAAACCTGCCACTTTGGAAATGAAAAATAAAAAAAAAAGAAAATCTCTGCACTGCAAGTCTGCAACTGCATCTACATGACTCTGCATTTCTTCAGATTTTGCAATCTTGAGAAGAATCAAGTTCTAACCATGCAACTTCGGAAAGAAAAAGAAAAAGAAGAAAAAATCTCTACACTTCAACTACTTCATCTACATATGACTCTTGAGAAGAATCAAGCTCAAACCCTGCAACTTCGGAAATGAAAAGAAAAAGAAAAAGAAAGAAAATATTTACACTGCAACTACTTCATCTACATGACTCTGAATTTCTTTAGATTTTGCAATCTTGCCCAGAATTGTTCAAAACCTGCAACTTTGGAAACCATAAAAAAAAATAATCTCTGCACTGAAAGTCTGCAATTGCATCTAGATGACTCTGAATTTCATCAGGTTTTGCGAAATCTTTCAGAGATGAGATGATCATTCATGGCGGCTGACTTTGTGAATCTGAACCTGGCAGGGCTGTCGGGGTGCACGGCGCTGAGGGAGCTGTACCTGGCGGGGAACAAGATCAGCGACGTGGAGGGGCTGCACCGGCTGCTGAAGCTGGCGGTGCTGGACCTGGGGTTCAACAAGGTCACCACGGCGAGGGCGCTGGGCCAGCTGGTGGCCAACTACCACTCCCTCCGCGCCCTCAACCTCGTCGGCAACCCCGTCCAGGCCAACGTCGGTGACGACGCCCTCCGCAGGGCCGTCACGGGCCTCCTCCCCCACCTCGCCTACCTCAACAAGCAGCCCGTCAAGCCCCGCGGCGCCGCCCCCGCCGACGGCGCCGTGTCGCGCGCCGCGCTCGAGGCCGGCGGCGCCGGGGGAGGCTCCCGTAGCGCGCGGAAGCGGTCGTCCGCTGCGGCGGCGTCGCGGAGGCTGGGGCAGCGCGGCGAGGGGAGCGGGAGCGGGAGGAGCAGGTCCAAGGGGAGGCAGCCGTCGAGCAGCTTGCCGGCGAGGAGGTGAAGACGGCGGCGGCGGCGGCGAGTGCGAGGTCCATTTTGTGTTGTTGCGATACATTCGAATTTAGAATTTGAAGATCTTTTGAATTTGGAATTTGGATTGGAGAGAGAGAGCGTATGTATTGCTGCGGGTGTGAAGTTTGACTGAATATTGTTGTTCAGTTTGCAAATTATTACAGTGCATCATTGCAGCTAATAGTAGGTGTGTGTGATGATGAGTGGAAAATGATGCCAAAATCCTGTTCTTGGTCGATCTTATAAATCCAGTCTTCGTTTAAACTCAACCTTTTTTGTTTCCTGTTGAGATGAGAAAATCTTAGTTGAAACATTTCGCAGACTTACGAATGAAAATTACTTCAAGGTTTCATATCTACTACTACTTTAAAAATAAAACTCGTTTCCGTCGTCCGTTTGGAAAAAAAAAAGCGAGAAAAACAAAAAGAGGAAAAAAACATCAATCGGCAAAAAAAAAGTCCGACTCCTCTGTTAGAAAAAAAAAAGAGAGAAAAAACGAAGAGAAAAAAAAAGGACGTCCGACTCCCCGGTGGAGAAAAAAAGTGAGAAAAAAAAAGAATTTTTCCGGTCGTTATCTCATAGGTGCGGTGTTTTTTTCATCCCCCTCGCCTCCCCCCAAATCCCAGTCGGAATTGCATCACCCCCACCCAAAAAAATTCCCAATCGGAATTCAATCAATCTTCACAATGGGAATTCAATGAAACCCCCCGAATCCCAATTGCACTAAGAATCAGATAAGGGAAATATCTTCCAAAATCGGCACAACCAAATCGGATGAACACACCGCAAGAAAAATTCAACCAATCTTTGTCCCCAAAAAATCATCCCACATACATACATCACAAAACTACACACCCTCGGCCGTCGCCGCCGCCGGCGGATCCATCCGCGGCCACCGCCACCGCCACCGCCACCGCCGACGGATCCATCGTCGCCGGATCTAGGGCGGGAGGGAGGTGACAGGGGAGGAGGGAGCCGCCGCCGCCACCGCCGACGGACCCACGCGCCGACGCCGCCGACACCACCATTGCCGCCGGATCTGGGGCAGGAGGGAGGCGAGAGGGGAGAAGGGAGCCGCCGCCGCCGCCGTATCCGCCCGCAGCCGCCGCCACCATCGCCGGATCCACCCGCGGCTACCGCCGCCACCGCCACCACCGGCGGATCTGCCGCGGGAGGGAGGCTAGAGGGGGTGGAGGGAGCCGCCGCCGACACCGCCCCCACCCTCGGATCCACTGCGGCCGCCACCAACCCGCGGCCGCCGACCCGAGAGGGAGAGGAGGAGGGGGGGCGCCGCTCGCCAGTCGCTGCTCCACGCCGCCGCAGCCGCTCGGGGGAAGAATGGGGGGCGGCGGCTCTGCCATCGTCGCTCGGCGAGAGGGGGGAGGGGCGGGGGAGGGGGGAAAATGAATCCTAGGGTTAGGGTTTGGGTATGTTTATTTAGGTTAGGATTAATCTGGACCGTCCATTCGATCGGACGGCTCCAGCTGCTCCCACGTCGGGCCGCCGGCCTATTGGGCCACCGAATGGAGGATGCAAAATAGACATCAATGGAGAAAGGAAAAAGGCCAAACACATAGAATAGACAAAAGGGAGGGAATATAAACTTTGCTATATTCAGCCCAAACATAGAAAGGAGGATTTTGATTTTTTTTTTCCAATTAAATAATTATTAAATTATTTTTGTATTATTCAAAATTAGCAATTAAGCTCTGATAATTCCAATAAAATTCTAAAAAGCGTAACTAATCATGGATAATTTAATAAAATTAAATTTAACCATGTAATTTTATTTTTCACACTTGCTTTACTTGTAAATTGATTTAATTATACACCTACGTACTTAAAAATACCAAATATTTTAATTAATTACATAATGTAAATTTTTCTTTAACTTTTTCTCAATTTTTTGTTCCGTACACTTCCCGTTGCAACGCACGGGCACATTTGCTAGTGGTACGAAAAATTCCAAAAAAAAAGAATAATAAAATACTTCAAGGTTTCATAGTACGAAAAATACAAAAAAAAACTAAGAATAAAAATTACTTCGAGGTTTCATAGTACGAAAAATCAAAAAAAACAAAAAGGTCAGATCCGACCTGCCGGATTCGAACCAGCGACCTAAGGATTGATCTGCAACGACTACAGTCCTCCGCTCTACCAACTGAGCTAAGGTCGGACACTGCTTCGTACTACGAGATAAATTTTAATACTTTAATTTTCAAATTTATACAGAAATTAGCTAGTTCCTTCTGTCGCTAAATGGTGACTGTTATTTTGTTTGCTTACTATATAATAACCACGATAATTCTGTGTCCCAGAAAAAAATATCTCTTCTCAAAATTTTTTTTATCTAAGTTCTGATTCTAATTAATTGCTGCATGGTATCACGTCAAGTATGGCCCATCATTGGCCCTTGGGCTACACATGATAGAAATTTTCCGTTTGGACCCAAATTATGATTGTTGTCTGCAGCAGTGTCAGTGGAAAACTGCCGTATGTACGGTGTCGGTAGCAAAACTGAGGATATGTAATATATATCCTACGAATCTCTCTAGGGGAACAAGCTCCCTACGGTTTAATGTCCTTTCCCTAGTATAATTCTCCCTAGGGAACCTGGGGATTTCCAGTAGATTGTTAGGTCTCCTTTGATTCAAAGGTAATTCATAGGAATTTTATAGAATACCATTTATATAGGAATTTTTTCTATATAGCCCTTTGAATCAAAGGAATGAATCCTACAAAATCCTATGAAATTCCTATGGAATGCCTAAAGACATGTAAGTTTTAGAGGAAATTTAGCATGAGGTTCTACCTCATGGAAACTTTCCTATGAGTCTTCATCTCTCATCTAATTCCTGCATTTTTCCTGTGGTCCAATCAAACGGCCATCCCTGTGTTTTTCCTATGCTTTGCAATCATTTGTTTTACACTTGCACTCGTATCAAAATTCTACGTTTTTCCTATTCCTACGTTTTCTCAATCATGTGATTCAAAGTGGCCCTAATGTGATATGGTCTACATTTTGTTGTTTGTGAACATCAATTCACCGATATTTGCGACTAATTGACCATTCTTCGTTTAATCGTCCGCATGATGTAGTTGATGATGATCTAAAGTAGTTTTTTAAGACATTGTTTAGTATTTGTTTGTGTTTCTTACATACATTTTATGTTTTATTACTTATTCAATATAACCAAACTTGTCAATGAGGTGTATAAATACGGCGTTAGAAGCCACATAGTTAATGGTAAGTTATGGATGTCTATTGAAAAACCAATAACATATTCAAGTTTTATAGGCGTACACATTTAAATCCCCAAAGGAGTATGTAATATTATAAAACATGTTTGTATATTTACGAACATTAAATTAATTTTCATCTTCGAGAATCAAAGGAACACCAAAAGCTAACCCAACGCATACGCACCACGCGAAGCAAAGAACCGATGCAGCTTTCTGCGCTAACTTAGCTGAATTCATCTGCAGGTTTATCTCATAAAAAACAAGCAAAATCTGCAGGTAATTAACAAGATTCAAGCAAACTAACCCCCAACCGAAACGCCACGTACTCACGTGCATCCATTCCCATGTGCAGCCATGGCACGCAAGAACACACAAGCCCGCATTTCGTCGAACACCCACGCCACGTAACGCACATATGCCTCCCTACTTAACCCGCGTCGCGCTCTCCGTGCATCGATCGTGTAAGCTAGCTAAGCTTGGCGAATTAAACGGAGGCGATGCCGCGATCTCATCATCTCCTCGCGGCGGCGGTGGCGGCGGTGGTTGTGGTGGTGATGGGATGGTCGGCGCGGCCGTGCGAGGCGTCGCTGTACCAGCCGCCGCCGCCGGCGATGGCGTACCACGACGGCGCGGTGCTGGAGGGCGCCGTGCCGGTGTCGGTGCTCTACTACGGCGCGTTCCCGCCGCACCACAGGGCCGTCGTCGCCGACTTCCTCATGTCGCTGTCGCCGCGGGGGCGGGACCACCAGCCGCACACGTTCGGCGCGCCGGGGCCGGCGCCGCCGCCGACGGTGGCGCGGTGGTGGGGCACCGTGGAGAGGTACGTCCGTAAGGCCGGCCGCGGCGGCGGCGCCGGGGTGGCGCGCGTGGTGCTCGCCAGCCAGGTGGACGACGAGGGGTGCTCCCTCGGGAGGCGCCTGTCGCGCGCCCAGGTCGAGCGGCTGGCGGCGCGGCTCGGCGTCGCGCCGGGCGGCGTGGCCGTCGTGCTGACCGCCGCCGACGTCGCCGTCGAGGGGTTCTGCTCCAGCGCCTGCGGCGCGCACGGCTCGTCGGCGCCCGGCGGCGGCGCTGTGCACGTGTGGGTGGGCGACGCGTCGGCGCAGTGCCCCGGCCGGTGCGCGTGGCCGTTCCACGCCGCGGACTACGGCGACGCCGACGCCGGCCGCCACCGCCGCGCGCACGGCCACGACGTGGCGCTCCGCGCGCCGAACGGCGACGCCGGGGTGGACGGCGTGGTGATCAACCTGGCGGCGCTGATGGCCGGCGCGGTGACGAACCCGTACGGGCGCGGCTACTTCCAGGGCGACGCGGCGGCGCCGGTGGAGGTGGCCGGAGCGTGCCCGGGGGTGTACGGCCGCGGCGCGTACCCGGGATACCCGGGCGCCGTGAGGGTGGACGCGGCCACCGGCGCCGGGTACAACGTCGTCGGCCGGAACGGCCGGCGATACCTCGTGCCGGCGCTCGTCGACCCGGACAACTACTCCTGCCTCATCATGACCTAATCGAAATGGGTTTTGATTAATTACTTTGCTTCGTCTTCAGATGCTAATTTCTTGTAATTAAGCATCGATCCATGGCGCATGTAGCACCTGCTGATCTGTTGTACACAGAGTATATATATACATATCCGTACAAAGATACCTTGTAAGATACATGTATAAATGTATGAATGCATGCTTACACCAAATTACTGTATCTTGAATGGGGCAACTGACCAAAGTTTACTCAGATTTCATTAGCACAAATTTTCATCATTTGTGAAAGTTGGCCATTTTTGTTTATCCAACCGCAAGAATCATGTGGCCTAGGAAAGTTAAGTGAATGTGATGGAGCTATTTGGACGTGAATGTGTAAGGCCTTGTTTACATGGGCCTAAAATCATGGACCATCCACGCGTTGAAGTACAATCCGGCCCACACTGCACATCCAAGAAGAAGAGCACACAATGTGTATACTGGCACATGCTTTGCACCATCCTAAATCAACCAATTCTGTGGTTTACCCTAGCCTAAGCATGTTTAAACATAACTGAAATATCTATTGAGAAGAAAGAGGAGAAAACAGACCAATGATGTGGTTTACCCTAGCATAAAGTAAGGTTCTAAGAACAACAATTAAACCGTAATACGATGATTCAATTTCTTTTACTAAGCAAGCAAGAAAATGGATTTTCTTTTTTGGTCCCTAAAGCACACATTCGCATTATCATCGCAAGCTACAATTTGCAGTTTAGGGTAACAACGAATTCCCTTTGGAGATAATTTCCCAGATTTAATAAAGGTTTATTTATTTCGTGATTTCATATTATTTTCCACCGAATTATCTTGTTTTATACTGTCAAAACTCAAAGAGATTCTTTTCTACACGAATCTCCCCTCTTATCTCGATTGGCAAATTTGCGGCCCCAAAAGGCATATTTACAAACGAAAAGTAATTTATAAATAAAACTTTTATATACGTTTTCTTAGCGATCTAAAAGCAAAAACTGAAAAGTAAACTTCGACGAAAAAAAATGTTTCATCTATTTTAGGAGATGAATAAAATTTTAGGAGAAGATGATTGTGTTCATACATGTTTCATCATTCTAGCATGTGCTAATTTTTTTAGTTCCACAATGATGGTATGTTGTTCACCTTGAGCTCCATTTTTCCTTTAGTGATGAAAACAGAATATGATATAATATAGGACTAGATGAGTTTCAGGTGTTCAGTTTGTAAATTCTTCCCTTGAAAAATGTACACATGTACTGTCTATTGTCTTATGTAGATTTTCAGAACTAATCTTGACATTTCTCCGGCTACCACTATTGCATTATTTCCTATATTAGTCCTTGTGGTTGCAGTTGAACCCAATGCAGGCAAGTTTTTGTGATATCAGGATTGAGCACCAGATGATGATGACAAGAATATGACTATCTGCCTTTTAAGGTAAGTAATTGTAATTCTTGATGCCTGTTGCATATCCAGAATAGACTTCTGAAATATAGTGATACATACAAATGAAATGGCATTAGAGAGGTTTGGCCTGCCAAAGAGTTATATTTGAATCACTCTCTGTGTCTAAGACACTGAACAAATCTGTTTTTGAGCCAATTGTGGAACACTATTACTATGTCTATGCCATTTCCCCAGCTGTGCTCCACTGATTTTTATGACCTATTTTCATGCATGGTTTCTGCCAATTTGAAGCAATAAAATTCGTTGCATGTGTTTTTTTTTCCAACAGGTTATATAGACTTGTGATTGAATTTCACAGACACTTCTTGACTGTGCGTATATATTGTAGTTGTTGCCTACTCTCTCTATCCCATAAAAATTAACTTCTGGCTACGAAACTAGATGTAGCCAGAAGTTGGTGTTTTATGGGATGGAGAGGGTACTTTCTTGATAAGAGTGCGCAGTGAACAGATAGTCCTATAAATTGTTTGGCACATTAATAGCAGTGTCCTGGTGGTGGTTTGTGATTCATCTTATATCATATTAATGAAACAAAACATGGATGGGAGTAGTCATTTTCTTTCTTAGTTTGCTCTTTCTATGCATAACTGATAACATCAACGTTGTGGAAATATTGTACATAACAAGTTTGTTATGGAAGTGCATTAGTGCAATATAATTTAAGGACCTAAAAGAGGTTTTGCACACAATTGTTTTCTCTATATACACAAAATACAAGTAAGCTCTTGCCATGTACATTCAGCTTGATGTCCTAGTGTTACTTCAAGAGTGTTAGCAATGCATTGCAGCGACATGAGTTACTTGAGTTGTGCTGTTCGTACTCTGTAGCTTGTGATGTTTGTTCTGCAGAACGGGGGATTATGAATTTAGCAATACGCATGCTTTCTTTTCACGAGGATGTGATATAACATTTAGTTTCTTTTGGTTCAGAATGTGCATGGTTTTTAATGGCCTTACGCTCTCCTCATATCAATTTTGGAAGTCTTTCAGGAGAAAAAATAGGGTGCAATTTAGTTTGTGCACAACCACTGGAATTGATTTTCTGATATCTTGAAGATAAGTTCTTCAGATGGACATAAGCTGACTTTAGCATGAGCTTGATTTTGATAGTAGTCAACAGTGAGGATGCTAGAAGAGATACAATTATGCAACATCATAAACTTGAAAAGCATTTAGACAAGATGATATTGGTTGGCTCCAAAATCGATAAGATAGTACTCCTATCTCCATATAGGAATCCCAGTGTGCCACATAATATCACAGTCAACACCCATGTACACACACATAAACATACTTCCCCAAACATATCACAGAATATATAGACAAATGTATAGCCCCAAGGAATTGCACAGTCAAGAAGCTGACTTTAGACATGATTATGATGGTTAAAGGTTAAAAAAGAGGTGGATCTACAAGAATCCTCAAAACACAATTGTGTTAATCTGTTCCACTACCTCAATCTGAGGTTGTAGATTTCATTCTTCACAGCCATCTTAGATCAGTATTATCAAGATTAACTTGTTTATGCTTCCATCTGTACACTTATACTCTCCGCTCTCATTTTTACCATGAATTTTTCATCTGAGTTCAGTTTCAGTTCGATACCTAAGCAATGTTAGTACACCAATAATTGTGTATCTTTGACTAAATGATTGCTCAAATCCTAGTGATTTAGATATGCATCTCATAGTTCCCTCCATGAACAGTATTATTGCTTTCTTGTACATAAACCTTATTTGCTCTCGTGCAAGGTAAAACAAGTGGTTTAAATTAAGTTCGCATCATCTGTTCATTTCAGTTATCTCCACGGTGCAACTGGATGGTTCTGCTGCTTCCTGCGAGAAACTGTGTAAGTCTGCCTTGCCTTCACATGCCCTTGCCTTTTGTCAGATTGGTAAGCATTGGGGCATGTCTTCCTTTGATTTTCTGTATCATCATCTTGCTCAATCTTAGTTATGTTGATATTGCATTGCCCATCCAAGTTTATCCTGATATTTATCTCAGAAAGAACTTCAGTTGTTGTATGGTACAAAGGCATCTGGTAACTAGTAGCTGAGCCAGTAAGTTGTCTCAAATCCCTTTGTTGATATAGCCTCTGCAGATGCCGAGTGAGACGGCACATGTCGTCGATGATCTCCCGTTCTAAATCCTCCTCGATGTCGGCCTCCAACTCATCTTGAATCTGTAGCTCTTCGGGAGAATTTGTGTTGTTCTCTGATGCATCACCCTGTTTTACAGTAACAGTTTCTGAGAAAGTTCATGTTATGACTGATCCTAATTTTGTTATTTGTCACTTAATTGTGGGTAAATAAAGTCAAATTCATGTTGCAGTGGTTGGAATTATACTAGGAAAATGAACTGTGCATCACATATTAGGCTACCTACCCTACACCTAAACAATACTTAATTTTTTTTGAAGGAGTAAGCAATACTTAATTAGTGTAAATAACATGGCACATTAGATTATATAGGCAAATTGGACACTGCATAAACAACCAGGAAGGAAAGGAAAACAGTTAAACTACTGAGTAAGCAGTACAGAAGAAATTACTAGATGGTAACCTGACTGTGGCTGCCCATGAGAAAAATATTGAAGGTTCTTCAGATTCTCATGTCTTGCCTGATGTTCTTCTTGTGACAAATGTTTCCTCTTTTTTGGTATGTGAAGTTCTCCATCGGTCTTCAGAGCATTTATACATTGCACATTGTGCCCTTTGTTGTTGTTACAGTTGAAGCCCTGAACTGAAATATTAGTAAGTCAAAAGATTCAGACAAAATTCCATGCTCTGCCTCTGATGCATGTTCTTGTTTGGTCATGAAAGCTTTTTATCACTGCATTTTTGCTGGTAATTACAGCATCAATCAGTATTCTGCAAGCTGGGTCTGCATTTGAGTTGGCTGTGAGTTCTTTTACTGGAAGGTGCCAGCCACTCTCTGTCTGCACTTGGAAGCAAAGAAGCTCTTGTACACATCCGCAAGCAAATTCCTACAACCCTGCATCGGATTGAAGGAAACAACACAGCACAGGATTTCAGCAATGTTTAGCAAGGCATTCTGGGTTTTTTCAGAGAGAGATTAAAGATAAAGATGAAATGACATATGTACCCCTGAAAGGATGACAGATAAAGGCAGGTTTCCCAAAATATGAGATGAGTTAAGGTGTGGAGTTCACTCAGAATCCATTATATTATGGATAAATTTTGAATCCTTGAACCATTATATTTGTGGACAAAGGAACAGACTTATATTTTTGCTTTTATCACCCAAAATTTGAATTTTTCAACCTTAAATTTGGAGTTGATTTGGGTTTTTTTTATCGAAGTTTATTTTTCAGTATTTGCTTTTAGATCACCAAGAACACCAATATAAAAAATTTAATTCACAAATTATTTTTCGTTTGTAAATATGCCGTTTATCTTATTCGCTGAATAAACCAAATGGTGGGCCTAGAAGTATATATCTTGAACACAAATGTCTTCTTTGGTGATGGACTGATGGTGAAACAAGATTTTTTTTTATTATTTTTGGTATTGAGCAGACTGATTCACAAGCCATATGCACCAGGGGGGAAGAGAATATATGTGTTGTACTTTTCTGTGAACCGGCAGAATGATCGACATGGATGTATCCATGGACGACGACTGCTGAAAGCGTCCATTCTATATGTGCAGTGTACGAGCAGGTTTTAGTAGGTGCAGAGCATCAGGTAAAGTAATAGGTCCATGGCCGGCAGCCGCCTGCAAAGACAAAAGTCACTTTTATTTTTATTTTCTTTTCTTCCAGA